GACCTTGTGGGCGGGCGGGGGGGGGGCGGGGCGGAGCCCGGCCCAGGCGCAGCGCCCTCCACGCACGCACACGCGCGCCCTTGCCCCCACCCGCTCGGCCCCTGCCACGCCCTCGCCCTCGCGCCACCTCCGCCCTTACTCCTTCCAGGCCTTGTCTCGCCCTCGCTCCTACCTTCGAGTCCCGACGGCTTCTTAGCTTGTTCGACTTCAGTCGCTGTCTAGAGGAGAATTGTAGCGGCCGGTTGAAAAGAGCCACGGACTATGCGCGATATTTCCTTCCTCTTCCTTGCCCTATATTCACCCGTTCCTTACACGCACTTACACTAACATGCCCCCATAGAGTTTGTCCCGGCTGGGGCGGTGCTCCGCTGGTGGGAGATACTTCTTTGGGGAAAACCCCGATAGGCGACGGTAGGTCGGTGCCGGACCTCACCATCCAGAGGGGGAAGAACACCGTCACCTCCCCACTATAAAACGTGCACACTTACAGGACTAATGCTCTTCGCCATTGACGCGCTCGGAATCACAAACAACCATTCAATCAATCGCACTAACCTTCGCCTTCGTCCTGTCCGTCGGCCTCACCCTCGCGACACCCCCGTCCTGCCCTGTCTCTGGCCAACGCCCCGCCCGCGGCCCCGCCACCTCCTGCGTCTCTCTTTAGAGACTATCCAGACCCTGGACACGCGTCGCTCTCCGCGACCCCCTCGTCATGGATTCTCTTCAGTTCCTGGTCATGCACCCGTCGGCACCGTTGCCATCGCTTCAACTCCGCTCCTGCTCTCCCCGTTTCATCTCCACCTCCCTCTTCTCTCCCCCTCTATCACTCCCTCCTGCCTCCCAGACGCCGTCCTCGCACTCGCCCTTCACCTTTGGCCTCGCACTCGCTCCGCCCCACTACCACCGACCTCAACTACACCGCACCCCCGCCCCTTCGCCCTCCTGCCGCGGTTTCCCACTCCTTTTCACAAACACCGCGACCGCGTCTCCCCTGCGGCCTCCCCCTCCACCCCACCCCCTCATGACCCCGCCTTGAACCTGCCTTCGCCCTTTATCCTGCCACCGTTCTCCGCCTTTAACTCGTCTCCGTCTGTTTGTACTTCGCTTGGAAGCGCAATAAGGAAGAAAGCTACTCTGTTACTGGAGAGTTTTGAATCTGCATTAAGATGAAAATACAAGACAAGAAGGGAAACAAAGGAAGAAAAATTACACGCTTCGCACCAATGACAAGTACTTGAATTATCTCTCATACCGTAAAAGTGCTCTCTGAGGAGACTTGGAAAGTAAACTTCGCTTCCGAAACATTACGGTGGGCGATGTTGTCTCTCTTCGTGGAATTCTCCCATAGCACTGACTGTGTAGAGAAATACCAACTTGCGGTAGACAGCGAAATGAGCGAATCATAATGCGAGGAGAACGCGTTTCTTATGAGTGTCTGCGTCAAGGTCGATTCGTTTTCTACATGTATTTTAAATGAAACTTTAAATTTAAATATACTAGTTGCCTAGAAAAATGGAAATGGAACACTGCCAGTTGAACTCATTTCACGTGCTGTATATCGACAGTAGAATCGAATGGTTTCAAAAGCGCAGTCGATATCGTGTTCCCTTGGTCTGACGTGGCATCGACTCGTCAACCCTGACCGGCGGCGACCGACCACATGGCCAAACGGAGCCAAGCTTGCGGTAACGGACCTATTTCAGGACTATCGATAAACATTCATACTTGCCCGAAATTGTTATATAATTCTTTCTTTGTTAAACTTTATTACTTTTTTTAAATGTATACTACTTCAAATTTGAACATAATAGAGAAAGATATGTGTTTAATATGACTCTGACTTGCATCTTCAGTCTTCATAACAAGACAGAATAGAAACAAGAAGCAAAAAACGTAGTGTTTGAAATTGAGTGCTCGCGATTTTTGCGTTGTTATTCCTTTTGGAGTCTCGTAGAAGGTGCCTAGAAGTTTTTAAAACAAGTAACAGTGAATTGGCTATTAATTCTGAAATAACATTATCTTACAAATTTATAATGAAATTACTTTTTATGTTACGTTGAAATTAATTGTATATTATACGTACAATTTAAAACACAACATCAATGTATGATAATTACGGAATTAGAAGAGTAAAGATGGAGAAACTATTATAAACACAGGTTGCAGGTTAAAAGTTACGATCCCACCTCGACTAGCTCGTACGTTCATTCAGTTCCTTGCATTAGAGGTTTTCCTTTGAGCAATGATGTGGTTTACTGCTCCTTTCCGTTCCCGAAACCTTATACCCCAAACCTTCCAATCCATGTGCGCAGTGTTGGGGTTTCGTGGAGGCCGCTGGCGCCTTTCACCCGGTGCCTCGCATGCTTAAGCAGACCTCTGAGGTCGGCCACGCGTGAGAATATCCTCTACGGCAAAATTCGTATGTTAGACAGTGAGTGAGACAGAGACAGACAGAGACAGACAGACAGAGAGAGAGAGAGAGAGAGAGAGAGGGTCTCTTTTTCTCAATGTAGATACACAAATATTGTCATTAGCAGGTTCCTTAATTGATCCTAAGGTTGATTAATAAGTGCAAATCTTCAGTTGCAGGGGGGTATAGCTTAGGGGCTTTTTTATTGAGGTTAGAGCTAGTTATATTGTTAGCTAAGGGGACAGTATTGGGAGCATTCTGTTGATTGGTAGAGGATGCAGACTGATTTTCATTTGCAGGAGAATCAGTATGGGGGATTTTTTGCGGGAAATGGTTATTTTCGTTAATTGGGAACTCAGTAATTGAAGAATTCTGTGCATCGGTAGTAGGCGCAGTTTGATTTCCAGTTGCTGGGAAGTCACTGTTATTGGTATGATGTTGAGGATAGGGGCATTGGATAGCAAAGTGGCCTTCTTCCTTGCATAGGAAACATACAACATAGTTAGTGGAAAAGTAAATACGATATGTAGGGCCATGATGGCATACCAGAACAGAATCCGGCATCTTGTCAATATCATCCAGATCAATATAAATCTACCTCCTAAAGATCAGAATATGAGTAACGCCAGCTCTGATAAACGATATTTTGGTGGAGAGTGTAATGTTATTTTTATTTAATATGCTCAGGAGTATCTCATTAGGAATAACAGGACACACTTTAGAGATAATAACTCGTGTTTGTTTATTGATGTGAGGTTGTATATTCAGTTTTTAATTATTAATAATGATAAATCTGTGTATATTCACAATATGTTGAGCAATCGTTTGAGTTGAGAGCAGAAAACAGATTCTGTTATTAGAGATTCTTGAAACATTTCAAATATCTGAAGGAGTTAACTATTGTTGCAATTTTAGATTCATAATCCTTGAGGCTAATACCTTCTTGGGCTTCAATCACAATCGCTTGGTTTTTGTTAGGGTACATTTCCGATTGTACTGCAAGAGAAAAGGTTCTGCTTACTTGTTTATCTGTGGATTCTGAAATTATGTTGCCATTGGTGGTAGTTTTCATCGTGGTTTGATCCCAGCAGCTGGGGGGCTGACGTTTGAGTATCAACTGTCTCCTCTGTTTTAATCGATGAAGAATATAACACTTATAACGATGAACACTCGTGTATCATTTACTCATACACTCGCAATGTGCACCACAAACACGTCCACCGTTCACGGACGCACCATATGGATTTACATTAATTTTCTCCTGAAGAAGTTAAATAAACAAAGTGAAATAAAGTAGTCGTAGAAAGTATTAAAAAGTATTTCTGTCGATATAAAAATGTACTAATGGAAAAATACACCATCAAAAATTATACAAGAGTTTACCAACCATTTTTCATGCGATGAAAACGTGTAAACGATATACGCAATACAATATGAGATAAACCTGGATTTACTACAGTAATTGATGTATCAAGGTTGTAAGGGGGAGGTTTTTGGATGAAGTTTGTAAATGTCTCCGCCCAAAAGTATTCCTTCATGCGATTATCAGAAACTTACCTGTCAAAGTAGTCATTTATGTACTGCAGTAAAGCGAGTTCAAACATTTTGCTAATATTCTGTATATAAAATGTAAACGCTGGTAGTCCCAGCTTTTGTTTTGTTCATTAGTAACAATTATCTTTAATTTCCTCAAAGTATTGACCATTTTTGCGAATAACTACACATCATATCTGCGCATATTCACTGTAGTATTCCGACAAAGGAATTCTGCCGACGTAATTCTTGTAATGATTATCAGGAAAATAGATCCAGCGACTTCTCTTTTGCGTACTACACAGATTATTCTTATATTTGGCTGATCACAATTGTGGCTAATGTAAATATTATGAGGAATGCTACTGTATCGGAAAATTAACCTTGTTTTGTTTGATCCAAAGACAATACAAATACGAATGATCATCAATTTACTAGACTCAATCTTGAGTGCAAAACATTATCTCAGTGATATTTTGTAATTTAAATACTAATTTATAAGAATATTAATCAAAAAATATATAAATATGCTATTTATAACAATATAAATAATTAGATAAATTTTAAAAAACGGAAAGGGTTTACCAAGCATAATAAATTTGTTTCGATGTTTTCAGTGATGAACCCTCAATGGTGATCGTGATGAGAACACGTATAATAATGGAGTAGATCCCGTTTTGGTGAACTATGTATTTTCAAAAATGTCAAAAAAGAGCACTGCAAAAGTACAATATTTCTGATAGTGAGCTTTTCCTTAATGAAATCTGTTTATAAAAATTAGATCTTTAATTATCTCAAGTACAATTTTTTGAAAATACTAGTAGTTTTTGCTTAACTTTTGCTTGATTTAAAGATTATTTAAAAAATGTTTATCCCATAACATCTCCAAATTTTTCTTCATTTTTTCTCTCAGATATAACAAAAAACGTTTAAATAAGGCACATATGTAATTTTTTTAACTGTTTGAATTTTTGTGACTTGTAAAAGTTGTAGAAAATGCGAAAATGTACGTGCTGATGTAAGATCCCTAGTTCAATATGGATTGTGTGTGTTGCAGATGTGGCGCAGCCGAAGACGCACATGTGGAAGGCCGAAGAGGTGGCGACGGTGGGAGAGCTCCTCCTGGACATTTCCATCAACCTCGCCAAGACGTAAGTGCTGCCACCAGTGACTCACCAATCAATCCACCTAGACATGAATCAGGAAACTAGCTGTTACTCAGGATTACTCCCTTGCAGCAATATCCAAGGCAATCATTAGACGCGTGTTTTTATTTGCAACAAAAGAAATAGTTCACCTTCTGCTGAGTCTCCTTTCTGGGAAGGGATGACGTGGCGTTGGACCGGATCTATGATTGCAAAGAGGAGAAGCTACCCTCGTAAATAAACGGCCACTGTGGATAACCATTACAGAGACAAATCTGACGACTGCCACAGGACCGAAACGAGGGTCCCACATTCGAGGTTCCACAATTTAAAATCGATTTCATGTGATTCCACATTAAAGGGGGATCATTCACCTGTAATTTGTCAATATGCCAATTACACAAACAATAAGAAAATAATAATGATTGTTTTCTTATTCTTTGTGTAAATGGCATAAACGACAAATTATTTTGATATTCTATACATTCGTATATCAAAGAACATCATTTATGTAATTTCAAAGAACTAATTAGTAGATTCGATGTATTACGTGTATTCAAAAATTAATTTCATATATTGAATGTTTTTATTAACCTACTGATTTATTAACCTAATAATTTTAATTGTTCAAAAGGGTATTAAATTCGATCTTTCAATGTATGAATTTGCTTTATCTACAATACGATATCTCGGATATTATTTATCACTTTACAACTTAATATCTGTATAATATTCCTGTTACCGATTAGGTTACAAATTAGGACAATCATCATCGATCCATACGTTTCATATTGCCATTTCTGCATCCTCTAATTCATTTTTTACCTAACCTAATGAAAGTGCTTAGTTTAATACATTTTTCTTTCAATCTATATTTCATTGTTTCAGACTAAATATTGTCAGTAATTGAATTTTCTTATTCATCGTGTGATTCATTCGCACTTCTTGAGCGTTTCACCATCTTTCCATTGAGTCATTTCCTTATTTTGTAGACGGAGGAATCTGTGGAGATATTTGTGTTATCTCCATTCCCTAATTGCTTTCGCGGGACTTTTAACTTTTCATGGACAATAATAGAATAAAATTTTGAATAGCAGATTCTGATCATAATTCTGCATTTACTGGAGAATTACCGGAGTAGAACTAATTAATTCTCTAGATTATGAAACTATATGGAACAAATTATCACGTACTATACGACTGTATTCAGTGTTATATGTAATAAAATCTTCTCATACTTATCAAGTCTGAGAAAGTAAATACTATAATTGTGTTAAAAATATAGAAATAAATTTAAATATAATGGTCATTACTGCAGATCAATATCTTTTCGACAAAGTTTCATAATTTCAGTTGAGGCTGTAGAGCACATGCATATGGGGGAAATTACACTTATTAGAGTCGATATATAGCTTTCGCTACAATTTTCTAGTTTTGTCCGTAATATGGAAAGCATATACTTGAAATTTACAAACGCATTTGGAGAGAACACGGTAGAATTACTCGGCGCAGAACTGAATGTGAAAATGCCATTTATTAAGTTTGCAAGCACACTGATCTTACGATGAGCATAGTATCTTCATCAAAATCATCGTCATTGGTTTCAGTAGAAACGATAGTGCAAGTGACGGAAAGTATACATGCTACAGTCGATTGATAGACACAAGTATTTTTTTCCCGTTCAGGGTATAATATGGAATTTATATTCATAAAATTATGATTTCTCAATTTGGATTGCAGTGGAGACGACAGTGCGTGCGAGCGAAAGTAAACACCGTAGCGGGTGGGCGTAGTGGGCAGGAATTCCTGGTGCGCCGGAGGCAGCGAGTGGCGCGGAGCGGCGCGCCGCGGCGTGGCGGGGCGGGGGTGTGGCGCAAGGCGGCGCGGGGGTTGCGCAACGCCCGGGGCGAGCGGCGGCGCGCAAAAGAACCTTCAGCTCCCGGAAGGCGGGCGAAGGCGGGCGAAGGCGCGGCGCGGCGCGGCCGCCGAGAAATCGAGCGGGACGCTTAGCGCCGGTCCACCCGCTCACCCGCTCGCCATTCACCGCCCACGCCGTCGACGCCGCCGCCGCTGCGTGAGATGCAAAGGGCCGCCGAAAGGCCGCGGGCTCAGCCGGAGAGCTGTGGTCCGGCTTGCGGGAAAATGCCGTCAAAAATTCATTGATCATTCACTAAAAGGCGACATGTGGTGTAGTGATCAGGTCGCTCACCCTGGTATCTCCGACGAACACCAGGCGAGTACCGGAGCGGTACTTCACGAACAGCCAGCATCCCACTTCGTAATCTTCCTTTCCTCAATATTGTCGCCGTTATCTTCCTTTACACACATTTACATTTACTTGCACGATCATCTTCTCCGGGCAGGGGTGGAGGCCACTGTTGGAGGTACCTGGAGGAAAAAAATCTGCTAGCCAACGTGTGGGTCGGCGTGGATCTCTCGTTCCAGCAGGCAGGAACACCGCCACCTTCCGGGATATAATATGCAATACACTTACGGAATTATTTGCCATTACAGCTGTCGCGCTCGGGAAAAACATGATCTATCAAATAATTGCTCCCCTTCTGCCTGCGCGTAATGGAGGGAGTTTAAATCCCGGTCACTCCAAGCGGAAAAACTGGGTTCCCTACAGCTTTCCTGGTAATTCATCTATTTCCCGGCTATTAATCAACCATTGCTCATCATTCTATTCATATTATCATTACCCCATCATATTTACCTCTCATTCCATTCACATTATCATTATCCATCGAAACCATTGATCTCAGGTTTGGCCGAAATGACGATGGATTGAGAATTATAACAAAAATAAATCTTCACTAAAAAGACGTAGAAGGCGACTCTTCACCCTCGTCAACTTTTTTGTGTCCTTTGTACTCGCAAGAGTACAAAGGTGCAAGAAATAATTTGGAAAAGATTCAACGCATGGGATCAAAAGTTAGTGAATGAGAAAATGTGAAAACAAAAGATTAGGATTTCTTTAAATAGGCCGGGAAATAGCACATTCCTGCGCATTGTGTACTGCTTATTGCTGTTGTCTGGCTTGGAAATTAGTAAATCGTTAGGCGGGAACACTGAGAAAGGATACTTGAAAGGTTTTGTTTACAAGTCGAACGATAAAGGAATGGAAGAATTTGCCAGCAAAAATCTTCCAAATTTTTCCTGAAAGTGTTCGGGCGTTTTGGAGGCAACAAGCTGCTTAATGATCTATATTGTCTTCTATGATGTACTTTAAAACATAGTGTAGTGAAGTGTTGAGAAGAGTATCGTACTGCAATATAAGGAAGTAACAAAGAAGTCGAATTTTACTGTTGTTGTGTAGACCAGGAAAAATGCAGGATAATAATAATAATCTCATAATCTCCGAGAAAGAACGAGAGAGACCGAGAGAGAAGACAAAGAGGTTTTGCATACAGCGAAGGCCCGCAGATCTCCTCAGAGAGTAATGAAGGAATGAAGAAGATGAAGAAGAAGAAGAAGAAGAAGAAGAAGAAGAAGAAGAAGAAGAAGAAGAAGAAGAAGAAGAAGGAGAAACGGTGTGGTTTAGAGACAAAAGTGTTTGATCCGCTCTGTGCGTGTTTGGAAGCGCCGCGCGCTGAGGGTGCTGGGTGCGGAGCGCCGTCCAGTCCGCCGCGCCTCCGGCTGCGCCACCTTTGCGTCTCTTCCTTGACGGCGACCAGACGTTCTTCGCCGCGCGCACTTTCCATTTCGACGCAAAACCCGCTCCCGGGTCACCGAGGAGGAAGCGCCGCTCCCCGGGCGGTTATGCCCTCCACTGAAGAACTCGAGCACTCGCGAGCGCCTGCAAGAAGGTCCGTGAGAGGGGATGGTGGCGTAGCTTGTTTCAGGAAATATGCAACTGAATTATTTGTGAGGTGATGTGGGTGGCCGAGATCGTTAGACCGCGAACAACGTTCGATGAAATATATTACTCGAGCACGTGTTCTCGAGCCCTCATTTCTCTAGACGCGACGGGAGTGGAGGGGTTGGTTATTTCGACTACATGACAATTATATTATCAAATCTGTAGCCCGTTTTTATTTCGAAAATAGTTTGTATTATACAGAAGCGTACATTTCTGGTAATTAGATTTTGACAACAGGGTTTGTTGCTACATTTATTTTTAATTCAACTTCCGTTACTACAGGAATGGGATAGGTACTCCTGGGCTAATGATAACCTGCACGTTCAACCCTCTAGTGCCCCTCGTTACATATATGTAACGACATTTCTGATTAACACGTATTTGCAGCTTTTTGGTACTAATTAGCTGCTCACTTTATTTCTTCAGTAGACGGTGACATCCTAAATTAAACATATAAGCAAGTTTTTCATTCTTGAATGCCAGATGTCGATTTAGCCGTGATCGCTAAGGCATTGTATACTCCTGGCCAGGGTGTGCAAATGACTTGCGTCGGTTGGAATCGTCATCTACAATCGTGCTTAGCTGCTGCGCCTGTAGATAAGTCGGAGGGAGTTGCCGGTGAATGCAAAAGGCGGTTGGTCCGCATCGAAGTTGACGGAGCATATGCGGCTAAGTTCTAGCATAAAAATTGCGTAGGGTATTAGAGGGATACTACCGGATGTATAACACATTGTGGATCTCTCTCAAAACTTCTAAATGGTTCACTAAATGATATCGAACTCGAAACAAAGGTGCCGCAAAGGCCACCTGCCTCAAAGACGACGCTGTAATGGCTACTGAAAGGTTACTTTGTCTGAACCTACAACTCTGTGTAATTTCAAATAACGTGCCAAAATCTATTTTATCCAAAATCTATTTTAAATCATTAAAAATGATACATCATTATTTTCACTTGTTTCATGATCACATTGAAGTTCAAACTGAGTATTCAGTTCCATTTAATTAACCAAAGATGATTAAAGTTTTCCAAAACTAAACAAATTACGAGCAATATATCGAGCAATATTACGAGCAATCTCTTTGGGGCATATTTCGTGCCTATGACTCTATTGTTGGGAGGAAATTGCATTTCGATGTTGTAACA